GATAGTAATATATTTCATCTTATAATTAATAGAAAGGGAAAGAAAATCAGAAACTAGCAAGGAAGGAATAGCAATGATATAGAGAGTTCTTGACTCTGGATTTTTTCTCATTTTATTATGAGATGTAACGTTATCTCATAACTTGGAAAAAATATTATACTTAGGGACAAGAGTTGTTTGGATTCATATTTACTTCTAAAATATTATATTGCTATATATACAGGATAATTTTAGCAGACAAGTAACACAGTTTTTATTTATAATATCCTATATTATTATTAATTTTAAATGTATTTCCTATTGGTATTATACACTTAAGCTTTACTGTTTCTGATATATTTCAAATTTTATGTTAAGAGAAACGTTTGCAGTCTTTCAACTTCTCCGAGTGAAGGCTAAACCTAACCTTAGCAATTTAAATGAATAAATCGTTAGAAAACATTTTTTTCGAATGAAAACCTCAAATTTTTATAATTTTTTCGTATTTAACATTGGAAGAAAGGGCAGTTTATATGAAGCTATTGCTATTTGAAAAAGTTGTATATTTCGAAATATTAGCAATAAAATGTTTGGCCTTTCTAAAAATGGTATACCAATGTTAACAAGCAAAGATGATGGCCAAACATAGCAGAAACACAGCATCCATCACTACATAAATGTCACCTACTATTTACTGTTATAATTTTTTCATCGGTATTATGAATCATCCAAGAAAGTTATTCAATAGTATATTTGAGTTTATTTGACACTAGCGGAGCGCAGCAGAGCGAGTTTTTAGTAAACGAGTGGGTTAAAAAGTTTTTCTAATCCCATCTGTAAAATACCTAATTACCCACCGATCTAGCGTGCGGGGAGCGTCACTTTTCCACGTCACTTTCGTTTCCCATGAACCCGAGCCACTTCGGACATTTCCGGGATTTTACCGTACGGATTTGGGAGCAATCGGATGTTTTCGGAGATATTTCCCATGCTTTGAATATTGACGTTTGTCAATTCTAACGGTCATGACAGTGAATGTATTCGTGTTGTTTTGCGAAAATGTACCCAAAAACTAACGGTCGTAGAAAAAGTATAGTATGCAACACGTTCGGTAAACTTTTTAACTTACTCGTTTATTAAAAACTCGCTCCGCTCGTGTCAAATAAACTCGTGAGTCAAATGCCGTTTACCGCACTCGTTGCATAATATACTATTTCAACGACCGCTAGTTTTTGGGTACATTTTCGCAAAACAACATTCACTGACATGACCGCCAGAATTGAGAAACGTCAAAATTCAAAGCTCCGAAAATATCCGATCTCTCTCAAATCCGTGCGGTAAAATCCCGGAAATGTCCGAAATGGCTCTAATTCGTGGGAAACGAAACTGACGTGGTAAAGGGACGCGTCCCGTTAGATCGGTGGGTAATTAGGTATTTTACAGACGGGAGTAGAAAAAATTGTTTAATTTCTACAAATTGAACAAATGTTATCAAAAAAATCAACAAGAAACGAATAACAGGAAAAAAAATAGTACCGTTAGTTTATAAAAATGTAATTTTTATAAATTATTTCTTAATATTCCAAATAATTTGTTGAAAAGCGGCGTCTTTATGTCTAATTCTGCAAACGTCACTTTTGACATAAAACTCAAAATATATCAGGTATCGGATATTGTATATGAAATATGTCTACAATTTGATGAGGAATTAAAAAATATCTTCATATACAGTTTTTTTTTATTTTTTACAATTTCTGTAATAAAATATCATCATGACCAGAGCTCACCCGATACAAGCCACAGCTACATTCCAATTAGTGGGTGACATACTTTTTCAGAAAGTCATTATTTCGCATTTAATGCGCGCATTTAAAAAAGGCCGGAATGTAGTTGTTAAAACATTTCAATACGTTTAGTAATTAGCCCAAATAAGATTTGTACTTAAAATAATAATAAACGAATAATTAAGTACAACACGACCACTAAATGACGAAAAAAATTGCTATGACTGTACTAAATTTGTTATGACTTAACTCAAAGTTGGAAGAAAACACTTTATTCGATTCTGCTCAGCCTAAACAAAGTCCAGAAACATTTGCCGGACATTTTCTGATCGCCATTATAAGTTAGAAAATGTTATTATATTACAATAAAGATAAATTTCTATGGCGCGAGATCGGCAGCTGCGGAGCGTTTCGTTCTTCGAATTTAGGTTGTTTTTAAACGATACTGTGAATTAATTTACTATCGCGCTGTAAATCAGCAACAATTTGCCTAAGAAAAAAATCGAAGAGAATTTTATTGCTCATTGTTAGTAGAAATGCTGATAAACGATCTAAAATGAATGGGGAACAATTAATTTGATTTATAGAGATTTATAGAGATTGTATGGTTCTTGTAGTGAAATAACCTATACGCCTGGTAATATCTGGTCCAACGATTTTAGTAATCCGGGTTATCTTTAAATTTAAAAAAACTTCCTACACTAACGCGCTCCAGATTTTTTGTCTTCAAAAAATATGATTGGAGATGATTTAGCAGCGCATATTGGCATTAGGAAGTTGCTAGTAGATAACTTTGGCAGTTAGTTAACGATTCCTATACAATGATCGTGTATAATTTTAACATAGAATTCACTAATCCTCTTTCAGTATTCCTCGATAATATAATCTGGGTATCTATTTTTTTTCATACTGCTGCGTAATTTTCAACATTTTATACTCTGCTTCAGACAGCTTGTGTCAATTTCGTTTCATTCGTGGAGTTATTAAAGATTTCAAGGCAATATATCGCACAAAATGTCTCGCGAGGTCGTAAAAGAATGTAGCTATCTGGTCACCCTAATTACAGATAATAATAGAGTGGACGTGGGCGTAGCTACACGAATATAAGCGGGAACAGCATCTGTTCACTTCTTAAATCCTTAATAAAAACACAAAGCTGAAATTGTATAACCCGGAGTCATATTGGTGAAACAGTAAAACGAATTGGAGAAACACGAACACTTTTCCAGATTTGTCTTGTTTTCTAAGGCCTCTAAGGAAATTGTACAATTTTTAATGGTTATTATTCTATGGTTATTTAAAGGGTAAATCTGTAAAGTTTCACTTTTTTTAACTATAAATTTTGGACAATTTGACGATAGAAACAATGTTATATTGCCATAAACTGCTTTTGTCGTTTTTTTTTAAGTAATGTGCTTTTAAAACTTTAGAGGTAACATTTATTTGGACGCTGGGGAACTTCGAACTTCCATCCTCTTCGTTTGATTTAATAACACAACTTGTAACCTGAGTGTGCATTGATTTATAGTGATGAAAGTTCGAAGTCGTAAATGCTTGACTTTTTCCGTACAGAATTTGCAGAAAATTGATATTGACCAAATAGTTTGGAGTTAGAGTTTAAGATATTGGCCCTGCTATTGAAGAAATAAAAATTAGATGCCAAAACTCAAGTTGCAAGAGACTTACTTAGACCACTTGCAACAAACGCTAAATGGCTTTGTGTTTCAATGTAAAAAATCACTGATATTTCTTTTTGCAGTGAAGAAAGAAAAATAAAATATCTTTTCCTTATTTTTCCCATTTTATAACTGTCATATTGCATTAATAACATAATCCAAAGAGAATCTAAAATGAAAACGCCAAATAAGTCATTTGAAGATGATGATTTGCTTCCCATATTACATATACATAAATAAACTTCGTTGGTTAAACTGAGTGGGTTCGGTATCCAATTCGCGGATAAAGAATCTGTCGGGTGTTGCACATTGTTTTTGACAGTGGAAAGAGGCAGTTCACCTTGCAGGAGGCGGTTCAATGCAGATCGCTGTCTCGTTTCCAGTAAAGCTTTTAAAATGCGCGACGCACGCGGAGCGAATTCTTAAAACAGGTTTTTTGTACATAAATATATCACCTTCCGTCCTCGTCTACTAAAATATAGAGAATAATTTCTCAATTATGGCGGGACACGTCCCTACGCTATACGTAATAATTGTGTGTGTATAACGCAAATGGCGTATTATCCATTTCGTTTCGAAAACTACCTCGTAATATCGCCGCGTTATGCGTCTAGATAAATACTACATGAATAAATGGAGCATTTTATTACGACGCAAGAAATATGAATTGCAACATTCGAACCGCTTGCTTCAGTGGCTTAAAATAAGGTTTTTATTTAAAGCGAATACATGTAAGCGGCGAGGTAAATTAATATTTGGTTTCGTAATGGATTATGCTACTCCAGTCTGGTATTTTCTTTGGGTGAATGGTTAGCGAGGTTAGACGTACCGACTAAATAACTAAATGGAATTAACCTACCGGTGCTTTAAATAATGACGTTCATGGAGCGGATGGGTAGGTTGTTCTTAGAGCAGCGGTTCACATGCCATTATAATTATTAGAAAAACAGGTTTTTTCAAAATTTTCAAAACTGTATTCACGAAACTTATAGCTATATAAGTGCACCAATGAAGTACTGCATAGCTTTTTTAATAAGTGTTTCGCAAAATCAAAATAAATACATTTTAAAAGCAGTTTTGGTTTGTTATTTCATAAACTCGTGTTAATAAAACTATATTTTTAAAATATGGCTGCGGAATTGCTTATATGATGCCGTTACTATTTTTGAATTCTAATTCGACGGTGTCAACATTCTGAGAAAAAAAATTTTTTTAAAAAGCCGCCTTTTCTATGGTTTCCTAAATCTGTCCTTCCGCAGCAAAGCCTCTGTTTGAAATAATTGTTTAGGTGGCTTGGATGTAGGAGATTTTCATTTTTTTTTTTTAAATAATTTGGCAACTCCCCACCAGAATTCAAAAACAATGACGGTGAAGTATAAATGAGAAACGATAAGATAAAATATATTTTCCCATTGCCGTGATTTTGTGAAATTGGTAATTGATGTAATGAAGATATGTTATTATGTCACAATACTAAAATGAACTTTATATATTTTTTTTAAATATTCGAATAAACGAACTTGGAAAAAGGATAATCACAATAGTCAACAACCAAAGCGATTTATTGAACTGGCAAATAGTTTAAACATGGAGCCACAAACAACCATTATAATAAAAGTTACTAATTTAAAAAAGATAATGCGATTAACATCCGGCCCTTGATAGAATATATACGTCCATAGGGTCTGATTTTCCTTTCATGGTAACGGGTCCTCTACAATCGAAATGAAACTGTTCGTCGAAGTTGTCCTCTTGAAGAAGAACCCTGCAAAATATTTCTCTGTTACTCGCGATCCCGATCAAATTACAATTAATTAAGTTCTCGTAACCCAAAATTCCATATTACATACGCGACCCTAATAGGCTAAAGCTGAAACCTTTTCAACGCGCTGGAAATTTAATTGAATTATTTTAAACGTGGCCATACCGCCATATATTATTAACCTTTATAGTCGAGGAGTTCTAGATATTTATGCCTCGTTAAGTTTGGTGTATTAACTTTTTCTAAACGTGGCGGCATATGTGTGTCGTGGGAAAAGGTGTCAGTGTCGCGTAAAGGCGGAACTTTTCGAAAAATAATTGCTTGGATAATAAAATCTTTAACACTTGACCTTGCAAAACGAACCGAATGTTTTTTTTTCTTCAAATGTGTTTCGCAACGGGCAAAATTCTTTGCTTCTCTTGCTTATCATTCATTCTTCTTTGAGCACCATCTTTGACAGGGTAAAAATTTTTACAACCATTCGAAAAGTTGGTTTATTAGATATCAGATCATAGAAATCTTAAATTTTTTTTTATCCTTTCTGCGTTTGCTATTTATTGAACTCCTTGATGTCTCAAGTAGCTACCACTGATGTTATATTCAGTTCATGGTTACTTGTAGATATAAAAAAAAACTGCTTTGGTGTAGTCATCAGAATTTAACAATATAACTGTCAATAATATGACAATCTGGACAAAATAGAGTGTTATTTGCAACGCGATGGAATTGCTTTTGGGGTACTATTTAGACCAATTTAAAGATGCCCCACGCTGTAGCCTCTACGACAGGCGGAAAAGAAAGCAAATGGTGGAGTACATAAGTACTATGATACAGGGATGCGCAGGTATCGGTTAGTTTTCCCCCATTGGTTCCTGCGGATATTTTCCTACCTTGATGGTTTAAATAAAGAGACAAAATCATCTGTTTTTTCCCTGAATATCAAGTGTATTGTTTGTGGTACAATACATACATCGAATAGGATAATATAATTTGTGGAATGAGTAGGATACATTCCAAGGTTACACATGAAACATGAACATGAAACTGGGTTTTCTATTGTTGATTTTGGAGTTACATTAAATTTTTTAGTAAATTTAAACATAAACAAGTCGTTGACCCTCAGAACCACCAATATCTTCTAATACAATTCCATCATAATGTTAATCTTTATTATATTTATATATATATATATATATATATATATATATATATATATATATATATATATATATATATATATATATATATATATATATATATATATATATATGTATATAAACAATTTTCCTAGAATAAGAATGTTGAAATTTTTATTTAGAAGCGATTTTTTATCATTTGTCTTTTAAATTACAAATCTAAGCGTTTGCAGACTCTGCATCGAATGAAATGAATCGAGAACAACAGAATTCTAATTTGTTTCAGCTAATGACGATAACGTCCAAGAAACTTGCAAAGAGGCAGTTTCCACGCTAGTCCGGTACCATAAAAAGGCGAAAACCGCAAATGGAACCGTGTGCATGATGGGAAAGTACCATAACATTCTCTACGTCGCCATGAAATTGTGTTATCTATGGCAATTAAAAGACCACGGTAAGAAAAATAAGCTTCGCAAGCTGCAAAAGACAAAAACTTCCTCGCGGAAATGTTTATGTATGGTTGAATTTGTTAGTCGTAGGCTTTGAGACTTTCTCGTGTTAATCAGCGGCATGTGCTTTAAAAAATGTAATTTTTATCGGGAATATACAGTTTCGCTTTCGGGTTTGATTCAATCATTTTAATAATTATCAGAAAAGCTAATAACTAGTGTTGTTGGACATTTCTCCTTATAAATATTATTATCAAACGTTCATATTCCAAATTTTTTAAAATTTGTTTGTGAAATTCTCGGAAAGACCCATTGTATTCGATTGAACATTTGCATTATGAAGACATTGACTTTTGTTTATATTTTAGAAACAGTGGCTTTGGTCCTTCACGAAATATATTCATGCGAAAGGACATTCGAACGTATTTTTATTGGAGCGATATTCGGAACAAAGGCACCTCACTATATTGCGGGTACTAGGGTTGTTTTAAATTTGACTTGTATATTCCCAAAATTTGACTTCCTCCTAGGTTGGAAAAGTGATTTTGACGATCAAGAAGAGAACATTCGGGGCCTGGTGTACTTCCTAGACAAGGCCAACTATGCTAGATTGGAACTTCCATTTGACGTGGGAGGAGAAATTAAACTATTCCGGTAAACAGATGCAATTCACCTTTATTCTCTTTGCCGATTTTTCTCATTGCAGGTTTATTGATTTACCAATCGAGAGCTGCGGAAAGACATCTGCTACGAAACTATCCGTCCAACTGGGTTTACCCGATAGATTGTTAATATTGCTCAGGTTTGGTGCACTAACGGTAAACGACAAAGACGTAGTGACAGTTTATGATCACATCCTGAACCGCCTCATGGAGTTCAACCATTGTTATCCCTACAATCTTGTAGCTTGTTTGCAGTTGCTGCTGAGAGTAATTCCAATGGTAAAAATATGCTTGCCTGAAGCCGCGAATATGATTACCAAGGACTCTGTTATTGAGCGATATGGTGATCTAGTCGATGATGGACTTTTGCCTCTTTCCCGGTGCTGTAAAGCCTCAATTTTAAAAGACCATTATTTTATTATATAACTTGCAGGTGCGGTTTCCGTCCACCGGAACTCAAACATCTTTCCCGATGTACGATCAGGAGAAAGCTTTGGGAGAACTTCCAGCTTCCGACTGGAATACGAATGTTGCCTTTGCCGGTTACCTTGCACCGGTACTTAGATATTTTAGAAGATTAATTACAAATTTATTCTTGGATTTGTTCTTATGTCCAACTGTTTTATGCTATTGTATCATTGTTGTACTGTTCTTAGTTCAACAATTTAATGAGAGTTTATCGTATATAATAGAAAACGAACAAACCTTAAAATCCTCTTAGTTTCTTACGAAAAAGATATGGGCATGATTTGTTGTGGAGTATGTACTGAACAAGTTTATTAGAGTTGTTAACCCTTACTCGCTAAGGTTTATGTTTTGAATTAGTGTTTAAATTTTTTGCTTAAAATTCATTTTGAATTTTCTTACTTTCTTAAACTTCATTAAATGTTACAATTTATTTTTTCCTTAAAAGTGCTAGCGATCACTACAATATTTGTGTTCTACAACAATTTAAATTTTTTAAAATAAAATATCAACACCTGCGTCACTCACATCAAAATAATAAAATAAATTGAGATTAAATGAGAATAAATTGTTTGTTTTTTTCAAAAATATGTTTAGCCAACCTGTATGCATCTTCGGACACGTTTATCTTTCCCGGTTGACCTGTGGTCTCCGTTCTACTGGTCAGATTAACCGTGTTTCCGTACAAACAATACCTTGGCATGCGTTGCCCTATTACTCCCGTCACCACCTCTCCAGTGTGAATTCCTATGGTGATCCTCTGCAAGAAGTCAATAAGGTAGTATTGGGGTTATATTCAAAAGAGACCGGACAAGTCACCATTGAACTCCCATTCTAAACAGACAACACGTATTTAACCCACAACATTAGTTTCCCCTATAAATTTAAGTAATGAAAACCACTGGTAAGTTTCTATTTATTGTGTAGTGTTGGCTAAAATGTTTAAGGAGTTTGAAGTTTTATTGGTTTAATATTTTTCGCAGAAATTAAACTTTTTTCAATGACTTCTCTGGTGTTGTTGTCATGTGATTAAGCAACTTTTCTCAAGAAGTGGAAACATTGAAATTTCACTTACAACCGGCTGCCCATCGATAATAACTGTGTGCCCCAAATCCATCATATCCAGAGCGAGCCTAGCGATGTTTTTGGCGTGCGTAGTGCAAGGCTCCGGCAAACCGCTGACAGCCATATATTTGTCACCAACCGTTTCCACCTGAAAAAATTCCAATTACCAGAATCACACAACAACTTAAATTGCATTTAAAATGGTCATAACCATCTACACTGGTGTAACTGTTAGAAATTTCTTCCATTGTTTTGTTAAAGTTACCAAACGGGCGCACAGAGGTGCAGTGTTAGCGATATAAAAAGTGAGGTTAATAATGGCAATCCCATTATTAAGTAGAAGAATAATGGCGATCCCATTATTAAAAAAAAAATGGAGGTTAATAATGGCAATCGCAGTAGTAAGTAGAGGAATAATGGTGATCCCATTATTAAAAAAAAAAGTGAGATTAATAATGGCGATCTCATTATTAAGTAGAGAAATAACGGAAATCCTATTATTTTTAAAAAAAGTGAAAAACAGAGAAAATGGCTATCCCATTATCGAAAAAAAAAATTAAATCATGTTACAATAGCAACCCCGTTGTTTGTTTGTAATGAGTTAAACTTCAAATGGTAGCATTTACAAAAATTCTGTTGTTGGTTTCTAAAATTTAAGAAATAGCGCGAGGACGCTTTCAGAGCAGGATGGCCGTGTTAGCGATATCTTTTATATGGCCGCCAAAAGTCAGGTATGCTGAGTCAGGACGGACGAGCGTCATGCCGTTCCAGCAACGCAAGAACGAACGGCAGTACGACGTACACCGAAGAGCTGAAAGCAACCAATGTTGTAATAGGTGGACGAATAGATCAGTGCTTTGGTTTTTGGGGAGAGTTTTATTCAGGGTTTAAACCCTTACGCCACCCCTTAAGTTAACATACATTCAATCAATGCGGGCAGAAGTTTATCATATTGTCAAAACATGTTCCACTAACAGACCCCAAAGTAAAAAAAAAACAAATAAATCTCAGGTGCTGAAAACATTATTACATATCTAAATCGGGGACCATTTTGTTGAAGACATAAACGGCATTTTTTTTTTATTTTGTTGCAGTTGCAGTGTTGCGCTTCAAAGCTCTCTGAAGAGCAATAATTGGTTATTTCCCAAAAAAAAAAAAAATCGCAAGTTGTTAGATCCGATGATGTGGTCAATAAATTGAACCACTATTAAAATTTGCTATCTATTTACGACGGAAAAGTTGACTTAACAAGGCATTAGGTGTTTTTCTGCTAGAAAAAATGAATTTTCTCTCTCCTGCAATGACAAAAATGTTTTATTCCATTAAACTTGTTCTTTTCATTTACTTAAATAAAAAAATTAGCTTTACATAATTGTTTAAACGGAAAAAAGGCTTTTTACCTTTGTCAATTCCCTTCTTGACAGAACTTTAATTTAGAAGAAATTTCTTCATTTCAATATGATATCCGCTTAATTAAATAATTATAGTCCACTGTGATATTTTTAAAATGATAAACATTTCAAAATCTTCAAGCATACTCTATAAGAAAAATACCAAATTTCTGCTATATCTTATATCTAATTTGAAAATAGTATTTCAACTTTTTCAATTGGCTTTTCAAACTTTTGGGAATCACCTCGTAGCTGGCAAACGAGTTGACGTATCAATTACAGATTTGAAGTTTGCTCAAAAATCGAGCCCGAAACATGTCTCATTTTTCGATATATATGCTAGAAATACCCTATGCAATCAAGTCCCACTAAAATTAGCCTACCCTGTATAAACATAAAATCAAGGCTATTTTGGTTGCTGAAACATGTAGAATTACTCTTAATTTTGTGTTGTGTGTATTGGATGTCTTAAATTGGGAAAAATATTTTTTAAATCGTAGGAGATAAATTGGAGACAAAAAAAAGACCTTTTCCAATTTAAAGCTATATATTAATCAATCACACTGTATATTATTATATTATATTATTAGGTCTCTTTTAAAAACATTTGAAAGTGTTTAAAAATTATTGTCCCTTTTCATTATAGATAGGGCGCGTTTAGTACTACTAAGAATAATTTACGGTTACGCATGCGTTTTAATCAATAATAGTTTTCTACATCAAACATTTTATATCCAATTTATTCAACCTTTGAATCAGTGGAATATTTTAATTTCCCATTTGTCCTCAAATAAGCCCGATTCGAGAGACGCGTTTGACTGTTTACTTAGGTTTTTTCCGAGAAAGGCTGTGGAAGTGTTTATTGTTAATCACCTCGCGGACACCGCTAAGGAAACGAAGAGAAATTGGAACTCGTATCGCATAAAAACGTGCACGCATACGTGCCCGGTTATAGGAAATAATAACTCGAGCTAACATCGCGATCATTCCGCTTATTGCATTATCGCGAACAGGTGTTTGAGCCAACGTGCAAATTTACTTACGGACGGGACATTATCGCGTTTATTATTAATGCAAATAATCATCTCGGGTTTACAATCAGTTTCCGGAACAGTTTGCATTCCAGTAGAGATTGGAACCCGCTAATCAATGTAAAAGTTTTCTTTATTATTGTTTTTTTTTCATTGTTAATTAGTGCGTTCGTCTCTCACTAATGCTAAACTAATTGGTACGGTTAAGGATATTATTCGCTGTAGGTTTCTCTCAAGTCGGTACCGTATTTGCAGAAATGATCGCGAATAAGGTATTGGCCGTGGCAGCACTTTTTTATCCGCATATTCATAAACTGCATTTGCTTTTGCTTTCAAATACGAAATAAAAAGTCAAAGTGGCATAGTATTAGGCTTTATTTTTAAATTATTTTTAAAAAGTGCTGGACAAATTAGACTCAGGTTTATCTAAAAAATCACACATTGATGGTGAGATAAAAATTGTTAACAACTCTATTTTGGAAATACCAAACCAATATGCACCTTTGAAAAACAAAACATTCTCTGATGAACCTTGTACTTCGTGGATTACTGACAATATTAAATTTTTAATGAAGAGAGTGTTCTCGTGATCTCATATAGTACAGGCAACTAAGAAATTATACAAAACATGCAATTGCTAGGGAAAAAATAACTAATTTTAATACATTATCACAAAAAAAGGTCGGGAATTTTGGACCAACGCTAAGAAGTTAGATACTTCCAAAAATGAAAATCGCTTCGAGATTCCAGAAGAATCTTAAAGGTACTCAGAATAATTTTTTAAATCCTTTCAAAGATATTCTGACAGGTAGATACAGTGTAGTTCAATTTACGAAAAGTACAACAACGAACTTTTTGGTAGAAACATCCGAGTTTATATTGATTAAGCAGTGTTGCGACAAATCATAACCTAAAACTCAATCCGAAAAAATTTCATTATTATTATCAACAACAAATTGAACGAAATATTTACATTCAGATTGGAAATATTATTATTGCAATTCGAAATATAGCAAACCATTTACGTTGACTTTTGAGAACTTTTAATGGTTTGATTTTCACACTAAAAAGAAACCCATGACTAATTACATATGCCATAAGAATATATACAAATTAAAGCATTTTTTAAATGCACTACGAAAATATTTTCTCTGCAATAAAATTCCTTCACTGTTTGATTACGCGGATATGATGTACGAAGATTGCCTGTTTTGGCAAACTAAAACATATCTATATATCTAAATATATATGTTACCGTAGTCATATATCTCCTTTTGTTTGGAATTCTTTTCACTTGATTGAACAAATAAAAAACCATTAGTTACACAAGATATTCTGATTAGTTTCCTGAAACTCTCACTATCATTTCAGGTATAGTAAAATACGAGAATTTGGAACCAAACCTTCTCATCTTAACTAAAAAATGCTTGTCCGGAACATATTTTTCTTATAACGGTTCAATTTTTGAAAAAACGTCAGGAACAGCTATGGGTTCTCCACTATCATCAGTCATCGCGAATATACTTATGGAAGCCTTTGAGAAGAAAGCTCTCGACACATTCCATCAAAAACCAAAATTATGGAAACGCTACGTCGATGATACTTTTGTTATTTGGCTTCATGGTCAAGAATCCCTGGTAGATTTTCTTAAACATTTAAAATCTATACACCCTAACATACGTTTCACCACTGAAATACAACAACAACTTCCCGTTCTTAGATAATCTTATCAATAGGAAATCAGACCTAACATTGTGTCTACAGAAAACCTTAGCACACAGACCGATACCTCAATGCATTGTCACATCACCATCCGGCCCAAAAATCATCGGTTATCAACTCTCTTGTTTACAGAGCCGTAAAACTATCTCAGCTTACCTCTTGCTTACCTCTGCTCTTCTCTTTAATAATTTCCACATTGCAGATATTAAGCGTTCCATCACAAAATACACTTCACTACAACCTTCCAACAGCAATGAAACCGAAAGCAATCCCACATTTGCCATTGTTGTCCTTCCTTATATCCAAAACATCACTGAACACATTTCAAAATCTGTCAACCTCTCTGATCTGTCAAAGACAAAATTCCATTTGAGATACCAGGAGTTTACAGCATTCCATGCATAAGCGGCAAAGAATACATTGGAGAGACCGGACGAAAAATATCAACTAAGCTCAAAGAACATGAAAGAGCCTTAGGACTAACACAAATAAACTCATCAGCCTAACACAATCACGAAAACGGACATAAAATTTTATTCGATAAAACTAAAATTCTTGAGAGTCTATAGAAATCTATAAGCAACCTAACAATCTTAACCGTGGTCATCCATCCGGAATCAGTCATCCGAGACGGTGTTTATGCCCCTCATCTAACTCCGCCCCCCTCAAACAAGATAAAAGCAGGTACAGAGTAAAATGTGCGCCAGTTTCAGTCAAGCTTTGAAGAAGCCAACAGGATGATTGACGAAACGTTGGCTAGTTCGACTCAACAAAAAACCGACGCAAGAGGAATCCAGAAGTTTTATAAAAAATAAATTAAGTTATATAATACCTCGTTGTAGAACTTTAGTATTTCAGAGATCATTTACGTATGTGGCAATAAATATTTGGAAGCCCACACTAAATTAAGTAATTAACGTAATTTATTTTTTGTCGCCATATGTTTAAACTCCCACAGCAACTTCACCGTCGATTGAGGTTTTCGAGCTCTTTTTTCTCCGGTTGTTCCCCTTGGGGCAGACTCTCATTCAGCCATGTAGTATTCAAAAATTGGGTTGTTAATGGCAATTTACACTTAAAATATTTTTTGTTTGTTTTTTTTTGTATTTCTTATGATAGGAAGTTTAGTGCAGTTTGTCAGATGTGTATCTTTTAGTCGTGAAATATTCTCGTGGGATTTTAGGCTTCCAAACCATTTTAGAACTTCTCGCAAATACTCTTTCTTTAGAGAATGCTTGTAACGGTTACGGGGCTCCTTTCCGTCACAATTTGGCACTTTTTTTTTGGTGGATAAATAAGGAGAATTATTATTATTGTTATTAATTTAACTTTTTTTTCCAAGACCTTGATTTTCTTCAACAACCATTTGTCATTCTTCACACTGTTCTTCAAATTGGACCTAACTATTTATCATCATTATTCTATCATATACTTAATCGAACTATTGTCCTTGTTTCATTAGGCATTGGACTTAGCGACTTAGCGCTTCATTTTTTACTAAAATTAACCAAAAATGTGCCCCCCCCCCCCCTTCTGCCTCCGAAAAGGGTTCAGTACCTATAATAATAATACCTTATAGATATTCGGGTTGACCTTGGGATCTGTCAAATCGTCAAACTTGGTATACAGCTCGTTCAGCATTTTGACAATTTTCATTGCACCTTTGGAGTCGGTATTGGCGGCGCAATAGTCTGGAACAATAAAATGTATTTTAATTTTTTAAGCAAATTTCATAGAGGGATTAACCATTCTAACAGAATTTCCGATGTTATTTGACAGGACTAAAGTAGTTACGATCCAGTTATCCGCCAAACTTCTAAAAACATAACCCGAAATCTAATTCTCTAAATATTCCACCCAATATAAAAGTTTTACATTGTTATGATTCCTAACATCTAGTGGGCTTTGAGTTCACATGATCTAGGGACTATTACATTGACAGAGCGAAGAGAAATATTTTGAAGACACTAATTTTTGCTTTGTCATTTAAAAGTAATTGTATATTTTAATCTAAATTTAACAAGGGTGGCTATTAAAGTGCTTCCTTTTTATAAATGAAAACGATAGAGGCGTGTTAACTGCATTTGTTTATTAGTCTCGTTTACATTAAAAATTTTGGTATGTTCTAAATTCAACAATACTCTGCTTTTTGTTCCATAAAATTACTGATACACATTTTCATAATATCTAACTATTATAGTTATAGGAAATAAAATAAAATAAATTGCCTTTGCCTGAAAGTTTAAATAATTTTTTTAAATGTATATGTTCCAAATAAATGAGATCGTATCAAATTTTCAATAATATCATGAGTCCAAGAAATAGGTAAATGGCAATTTTAAGTTTATTTGTAGCTAAGACAATTATTCCCTTGAACTAAAACATCAGCAGCACCTTGTATATTAGTTAACCGGCAGTAGGAATGAATTTTAAATTTTGTAATGATACCTAGTGTTAGTAGCACATAAACTTCGAAAATTAATAGTTTATTTTATGTAATAACTCATATTTTTATTTCGTAGGCCTTATAATGAACACTGCATAATGAATATTTAGTATGATCTTGTCCTAAAAATTCTTTTTGCTATGTTTCTGCGAAATCTAACCAAAGTCCAGAAACTTTCAAAATGAGAAGAACTCAATAACTTTACCAGAAAATCCAACGATGCCGGAAAAAAGCAGAGTCACGCAGTCGTATCTTTTGGCCGGAACGGGCCTCTTGTGTCTTAATTCACTCGCGACGCTGATGGGTAGAACAGAGTATAGCAATCTGAGAAAAGAGAAAAAAGGGTCACTCTCACACCTAGGAAACTAGCCTACACTTACTGGTCCGTTTTTTTTTTCTCGCCGTCCAATTCTCGGTAGGTCTGTTGCAACTTGTCCGTCAATATTTCCAAATTCCTCGTCAATTTGTAATCCGCCTCGAACTGCTCCGACATCAGTACAAGATCCCGAGTAGCATCGTGCAACGGAATATCGCTAATGTAGAGTCCTCTTCTAATAATGTTATTTTTTATTATTATTAAAACTGTTTCTTTAGATCACAATACACATAGAATAATTTCATTGTATGATCCCAAAAAAATTGGGATAAATACAACTAAACAAAATATACATTCAAGAAGGATAAATATTTATGTAGAGACAATACACACACATTATTTATAAAATATAAGTACAAAAAAAGTCACACGCTTTATTTCACAATAAATCCTTCATTCCATGTTCTCAATGTCCGTTTAAATTCACCCAAGAAATTCGTCACTTACACTGTGTGTATGTGTCTGTCTGTGTTAAATGAGAAAAAATTTGGTATTTAGATGCATAATGCCTTAAAGCTACTAAAATTAAATTATCAGGGGTGGACTAAGAAACATTTTAGAAAAACCATTTCTTTTTATTTCTTTTCTATAAGATTGGAAAAAAAAATGTACAAAATGTGGTAGGGTACAAAATGAGTTTCCTCGAAATTCAATCGTTTCATCTACATTTTATACAAAACGTCTTAATTTTAAGATTATTGTATTGTAATATTATATCAAAGTCTCAAACAGGAACTAGCTTCTATTAAGCATTCTAATACCTCATAAAAAGCTAAAATAGAAGAAGGCAAATTTCAGTATTTCTTTTCTATAAGATTGTAAAAAAAATGTACAAAATGTCGTAGGGTGGAAAATGAGATTCCTCGAAATTCAATCGTTTCATCTACACTAACGTTTTATACAAAACGTCTTAATTTTAAGACTAGTGTATTGTAATCTTATCTCAAAGTCTCAAACAGGAACATGCTTCTTTTAAGCATTCTAAAATCTCATAAAAAGCTAAGATAGAAGAAGGCAAATCGTTTTTCTCAAATATCGAGAAATTTTAACTCAAAGTTGTAAAATACGTATTTAAAATTTGAATGTTAATAGCAGTATATTTGGACAACTTGTATATAAAACAACGAAGAAATTAATTTTGATAATAGCTTACAGTGAGAAAGTCACCACCATCTACAACGAAATTGATTTAAAAATGCCCCTACTAGCCTTTTTGGATTCATTTTGAGGTGAAAGGAATAGTACCATTTGACTATTCAGTTTGAAATAGTATAATTTTGTTTTTTGTAAGTGTGTTCTGCATGAACTGATTTTTTTTCAGCAATAGCAACAGCTTATAGAAATATTGAACCTGGGAGTTAATATGTTTCTCTGAGGTACAGTAATATGAAAGCTTTGCACTTAAGATGTAACATGTAAACCTTGTTTTCATTCAGAATTTTGTGTTATTTCCTGTTGGCGAAACTTTCATCGGGATTTCCACGTTTTAACCTTTTAGCAATTAGCAGGTGCTGCATGACACCTTTCGAAGAAATTGATTCTCTTAATGTTTGCTGCTGTCGCTGACTAACAAACCATGACTTGTATCGATCGCTTAGTCACAGAGTCGCTAATTGATAATAATTATAGAAAGCCGTCACTGCCGCTTCCGCAAGCTCGACCACGCGCTGGACGCTTAGATTTTGTTTGATTGGTGTGGTTACTATTATTACTGAACTAAACCGGCAAACGATAGATGTTTTTTACTTCCTATTAGAAACAAATTATTTTCCCTACCAATAATTATAAAATTAAAACAGCCAGCAATCACAATCTAAAATTGGGAGCGCACATTTGAAGATTAAATAGGTTTTTTAATTCCAGGACTAGTACTAGCAACGACATTGATTTTAATTTAAAAAATACAGATCAGAAATCATTGTTTCGAGTATTCAGACTGAAGAATATTGATGTCGACTTTTTAAGAATTTTTTTCACCTTCCTAGATAAATTATATTATCGCGATGATAAAATTTTACGAAGTTTTAGCACCTATTCGAGAGATCAGGGAAAAAGGGAAATCTTGGCTTACTAGTACGCTACAAAAGATAATCAAATGTGATGTGATGATGAATAAAACTGCATAAAATTCAACACAAAACACTATAATCATTCCAAGCAAACAAGAAATCAAACAATCATCGCAGTTAACATGGAAAAAAAATAAGCTTTGTATTGTCAAGTCAAAAGTCAAGTCAAAGTCAAGTCAAAGTCAAAAGTCAAGACTGCTGTTGATTGATGTTCTTTATGAAAAGTCCAGTTAGTGTTTAATGTGCAATTCTGAAGCAAAATACGTATACTAATTATATATGTGTCCCTCTTTCTTATACGTATGTCCTATTATTCTGTAATTTGGGTATTCAGCATTAAATAAATGCAGAACGACTATTTTCTATATTTCGTGTTTCAACAATATGCAAACTATAACTGGATTGATTCACTTGAAGGGCGTTGCTGCAGCCTTTGAAGAACTAACAAAGAGTGAGTTGGATAGGTGATAATGTCTGACAAATATCTCATATTTTAGGATAGATCGGATTCTACAGAAAATAATAAGCAAAATATTCCAAAACAATTAATACAAAATTTGATATTTACATTTACATTTAAAAAAATTCTTAACAGACATTAAGGACAGTTTCTTGGATTTTCTTTATAGTAACGTAATGAAACATCGGGTATTCGTAAAATACATTCCTAATATTCAATAAACAGTAAAGGAGGAGATTTGCTAAAATTTTAACTATTAATTAGTTTTAGAAACGTTGCTATTGCTAATTCTCGAAGAATATCCATAAGTTTACCTTACTATACTTGACTGGTTTTGGTTAACTTCAAATGTCTTAAGACGTTAAATCCCGTCAGGAATAATTATCGACCATATGAGGAAGACTATTCTTCCTATGTCACGCGTGTCGCGTTTTTTTTATCTATAATGATATCAAAACAAGACAATACTAAAAGGCAATGTCGCTCCTGAAGGATAAACAAATTAAAATGATATATTATTACGGCCGATTGTGAAGATAACAAGCCGCGACGCTCAAAATGTTTGTAGTCGATTAGCGAACTGCGTCATGAACATATTCGTGGCCGTTATACTTGGGGTTATTTTTCCTCCTAACGCGCTTGCCGCCATGAGCATGCTTAACCAGAACTCTATAAAAGAATCCATTTCCGAATGCATGATCAAGGGGGTGGAATACTACGCTCCCACGCAGAAAACGATATTCGTTTCGGTGTCAGTATCGAAAGACGATTACAAAGATAAGGCCACGGTCGTGTCTAAGACGGTACTGCTAAGTGGGATTTCGAGGAGGCGACTTTGGAAAGTCCTCGTGGTAAACCCCAGAAAGACCAAACTCTCCAATTCGGAAGACCTGTCCAAGAGTTTGCTGCGTATGTTTATCGTTTACTTTCACGACCGAGGCGAGATAGAGGACATCCTAAATCGTTTGGAGAAGGAAAGCGTTCTGAATCCGCACGCCAAATTCTTGGTGGCGTCTCCGATGATTTTTGAAAATAACTCCGCCATCGCCGAGGAAGTTTTCGTAGCTTTGGCCAAACGAAACGTTCTGAACGCAGTTCTCTTACTCGCGGATCACCTAAACATTGCTCGTTTTGAGATATACAGTTGGTTCCCATTCGAGGAGGGCGATTGCAACCAAGACAAAATAGACAACCTGAACTTGATCGACAATTGCACGTACGGACATTTCGAGAGAAACGCGTCATGGTATACCAACAAGGTGCCGGCGCGATTCAAGAAGTGCACCATGCTTGTGGTTTACGCCAGGGTCCCGCCGTACGTTTTAAACATGGATATGGTGACGAGTTTGGAGGACAGTAACGATAACCATGGGGTGGAGATAAGCCTCATAAGAAACCTGGCAAAGATGTTGAACATCTCGCTAGTTTTCCAGGAGTCTCCGATTCTAGGAACGGTTTATCGGAACGGGACAGCTACAGGTAATCCAAACGATATGGGGCACTTGTATTTGCCACCTCGGTATCATTAGGTATGAGGACAATGGAACCTTCGAATTGGTATCCGATTTTTCATTTTTAAAATCGAGCAATTATTTATTTTTTCGAAAAATTTTTATATAAAGGTTGTGCGCCTTGAAAATACCTATAAAATCAATCGGTTAATAAAGAAAAAAATCTGAAATGACTTTTTATTTAATTGATAACAAACAATAGAAGTCTTTAAAATTAAAAGTAAAACTATGTTTTTCGTTCAATTAATTGTTTTAATTGCATATTGTACAACAGTTCTACAACGATGAGCGTGTACGCAAATCAAAGTTCCGTGCTGATTTCATACTTTGGCTTTCACCAATACATGAATCAGTTATTCCGAGACAATTTTCATATCCCCATCAAACAGTTTATCTGTAGAACGCAAACCAGTTTCAGTTAAGTTCTGAAGAAGCCAACAGCCGAAACGTTACGAGTTCGATTCATCAATAGCCAGCACAGTAGGAATCCAGAATATTTGTACAGCAGCCAGTCACAGTTTCTTTGAAAAATTATAAATTTTGAAGTAGCCTTTACAGCGGATGCGAAAAATAACTTAATTTTCGTACCCGGCTCGATCGGCTTAAAAGCAGACTTGGGTGTTTTGTTTAAGGAATCGAGGAAAAAGTTTGAACCTAGAAATTACTTCCAGCGATTTTATTACTTAGGAAAATATTTACAAAACAACTAACGGGTAGGCCTCTCTAAGCAGCTGTGATTTTAAACTATTACCACATCAAAAATAGTGATAGGGAATTTTTGCATTAATGTTGTGACTACTTACCTGTTTTGTCGTTATTTTACTCTTACACTTAAAAGAACATATTTCTCAGCACAGCTGATCCAAATCGGCAGCGCCGTGCGCAACACAGAATGCACATGTAACTGATGGCCTGACAACGAGGCGTTAAACACCTGTGACTTATTCTATTGGTTGATGACAAATAAATTAACTTAATAATTGAAAAATGATTTAAACAATTTAAAATAGATGTGTCATAATTTTATTGTTTAATGTTACTAGAATAAGCATTGAACTTTGATTTCCGCAGACTTAGGAGTATTTTCTGAGAAACAAGTAAAAACTTATTTTATGATCTAAGAGACTTCTTTTATTGTGGTATAAAGAATGTTCTGTATGTTCTGCTACTCTCCAACACGACTCTCGTACAAAACATTTTTAGGAAAAAAAATAGCTTCAGCTATTTTTCAAATAAACTCTATTCTTACGCCTTAATGGTTAATAAACAAATATATTTCGAACTTTGAAATGGAACATTGGATAATAATTTAGCCCTACCATTACCCTCAAACCTACTGTGATAGCAGCTGACAGTTTCTATGAAAATCATCTAATTCGGTTGGCATAAGGGCCCTTCGAGTTGCTGCGAAACGCTACGAACCACGCCCACATCATCGTGGGTAGTTACGCTCAGACTTACGAGAGGTCTTTGTACTTTGACGCGAGTCTACCCTACGCCTTCGAGTCCATGGTGTGGTGCGCACCGCACGACCCGATACCCACCCTCCAATGGCTCGCCTTGCTCGCGGTGATACAACCAGACGTCTGGATTTTATTGGTCGTTTCCATCTTGCTCTCCACGTGCGTCATTTACGCGATAGCCAAGCGATCACCGATCGAACGGAATTCGTACAAAGACCCGGGGCTGATATTCCAAAACATTTTGATAATGTCGGTCAATTTTTCTGTGAACCTGTTACCGAAGACGGTCAGGGTGAGGTTGGTTATCGCGATGATATTATTCCTAGCGTTCAGTTACAACAGCGCGTACCAAACCGATCTGGTGAGTATCTTGGCGCAGGATAACAAATTCGAGGAGAAATACGTGTCCGTCAACGACATCTATAGGTACAACTTGACGACGTATTTTACGGCAAACACTGAGCGCTTCTTCCAAGACGACACCCTTGCGAGCCGTACGATTTTGTCGAAATACGTAAGTTGCGAGGTGAAAAATTACGAGCTCTGTGTGAAACAGGTGATGGTGGAGAAGAAGGCGGCGGTTTGTTTCCCGAAAACCTTTCTGGAGTACATGATCAAAATCTATACGACGAACGCCAACCCCAAAGTTTTGCAGTGTTTCATGTCGGAGCCCGTGGTGACCTTTCCTTTAAACTTTGTAATGTTCAAGGGCATTTGGATTTACGAAAGGGTTAATCTTCTCTTGAATAGGATCCTAGCGTCAGGACTGATAGAGAAGTGGGGACGCATCCCGAAATATCTGCATAGGAAAGATCACAGCCTGGACGATTTCGGTTTGGATGATCCGGACGCAGACGGTACGAAAACTCTAAGTTTTCACAATCTGAAATTTGTTTTCGTGTTTATGGTGTTTGGGCATATTGTTGCCTCGTTTGTGTTCGTAGTCGAAATTACGTACGATAGGTACAAGAATAAAAAATAATTTGCAAATATTTTTATCGAGAAAACTTCGGTCGTGTACCTATTGTTGCTAAAGGGTAATTGTTTAGAATTGTTTTATGGCTATAGCTAGAATTTGCAAGAAAAACATTACATGATCCAATGACGATTATTTCCTGGAATCAAATTTGAAAGTACGATTGAAGTTTTGGATCGAATAAGAATAATCACAAGTCACTACGGGTGATTAGATCATTAATTAATTAAAATCATTGCCACAAAACGCTGAATATAATTTAAATATCAAATGTATGTGTGTGTCCAGCATTAATTTGAGTCCGATGGTTTGATGTCAATAGCGAACTGTTAACGAGACCAAGACGGAATGTCAGTGTATATCCTGAAAGGTTGTGTGACATATAGATAAAAGGTATCCTCTGAAGACAAAAACTCGCATTGGTTATTTAGAAAAATAGAAATAACCTGTGGGAAATAAGAAAGATTTTATAATTATTCTGATGGATATTCTGGATTCTGAGATTGGTTCCAACGTTGCTCCAACAGGAAACTGCAACAATCTAGTCTTTTATAAATTCATGATGGCATTTAGTGTAATAAATTCAATACATTGTGCATGACCCAAAATCTTCAACCAGGTACCGAGTCACGCCGAGATATCCCTTTAATTGTAACTGCCATTTATTTTTAATTTTCCTCCCAGATTATAGGGTTAATCAGGAAGCCTAAAATATGGAAAAACATTTTGTTGCATATGACCACCCCAAGGCGATCCACTACTAAAGGAGCGCTATTGAAAGAAGAGTTTGAAAATAATAACATTTTGGTCTTATTTACAGGAGGTGCAGTTTTCCATTATATATATAAAGCGTATCTATAAATTAAAAATAAGCTTTTCTTGGTTGGTATTATTTTCATCGTGTTTTACTTTCAATATCGCTGTTTTGGTTTTAGAACAATAGTATTAGGATGGTATAATAAAACAGTATGTTTTCCCATATTTTACGCTTCCTGAGTAAGCCAGCAATTTTGGGCGAAAATTTGAAATAAATAAGAATAATTGACATTTATTTAGAACCAGAAAAAGCACTTGAGACCTTAGAGCGCTCCTTCTCAGTAGTAAGGAAAGAGATGCCCCAGCTTGCGTGCGTACATAATAATAATTATAGTCGATAAAGAAGTGTAGTAAATATATAAGCAAAATATCCCTAAATGACTCTTCTTAAATATTTAGTATCTCTTTTGAAGAACCCGATAATTTTGAAGAAGCTTGGTCCAAATGCCGTCCTGGATATTGTATAACGCAAAATGTTGCTACCACAAGACTTCACTTCACTTTTTATATACGGGTACTTTTATGTAGGGCAAAAAGGTTCGTAACGAAATGTTATTCGACGGAAATGCCGGAATGGAAGAATTCGTGGGATCTACCAAGACATTATATATTTACGTAAAGATTAAAATTAAAGTACCTAAAGACTAAATTTAATTTGGAGTGGAAACAGAACCGCATCAAATTGCTGGTAAAAAACATAGCACCTTATACATTCTTGCTAGTTATGGTTGCGGTTTTTAGTATTGGTCTACGCACCTCGTCAAGTCATCCAGGTTGACCACGCTTGGATAACACAAGAATATTACCAAATCCGATTCCAGAATATAGAGCATTTGACCTTTGAGCCTCAAAAATCGGTATTCCGGAGGAGCATCGACTTGCATTACACCCGAGCGCGTTTTCAACACGTATATCGTGTTAATGTGTGACAGGATGTTTTCGAAAGTTAGCTCCAAATGCGGTCGAATCTGAAAAACAGTAAACTTAATAAATGGCAAATTGCTATATCGGTGATTTGCTAAGTTGAATAAGTTATTATGTGATAATAATTCATAATGATAGTATCGCTATAGCATGATATCAGCTATTTGTGAATACTTTCTAGAAGGATTTGTTCGTAAACAAAGAAATTGTTGGAGCCTATTTTCGCGCTACATATTAACATTGCTTTGTACGGTTGCAAAGTCATTCTCTCTATTGTAAATTATTATAATAACTAATGAAGTTCTTATTTAGGAGAATATATTGAAATAATCACGTCAATTATTTTAACGTTCCGACCGCAGATCTGGAACACCTGCAGCGATTAGATGTTTCTTATAGTTTTGGTTAGTTAGTTTTGGAGCGAAAGTCACAAAAAACATTCCATGACAAATTGTAAACCATAATTCAAATCACTTCCAAACTCCTTCGCATCATTTAACTATTTATACTGATAAGTATTTACGGCTAGTTACCGTAAATACGTTTTTCATAGGGACCACTAATTTGACTTAATTTTTTTGAAATTTCTGAAAATCGTGGTAAAAACTTAATATTTTATACCTATTTTTTTATTCATTCCGCTGGTCCAATAGTGAGCATAAAAAATTGGTTATAGTATTTCCGATGGACAACACATCGACTCTTATGGTTATATTTGTCCATTCTTTTTAATTTTCGGAGTTTACCTTTTCTTGCGAATTATTGACATTTTGATTTATGTATGTATGGCAGCCGGACATATGATTGATCGCCATTGGGTGTTTAGATCAATGCAAATAGTTTATGTAAACCCAGCCTCAAAAGGTAATAGGTGGCACATTTACCATGTGCACAGCTTCAAAAACTGTTAATTAAGCTGTTGAAGCCACGTTTGATCAAAAATGATTGCGTAAGTTCTCTCCCACTATAATTTAAAACTCCTATAGCCCCGAAAATATATCATACAGTTCTTGACTGCGATGTTAATAGATATGCGTACAAAGGCGAAAAGAGTGGAAATCTATTCGGCCGCTAGGGAACGCCCACCGGGGGCAATTTGTACCACAAAACTATTTGCTCACCGGGTCGAGTATGTCGGTGACGAGGCAATTGTCCTCGATGACCTTGGGCATGACTCTCGCGACCGTCGATCCGGTTTGTACGATTTTCAGGTTCCTATCGAACATTATGTGGAATGGATATATGCTGCAGAAGGTGGACGCACTTACTTTCGGCTCTGAAACAGGTTGTTTACGGTACATTTAAATAATTATCGGACCCAGATTATCGTCGGTCGTGTGGTGAAATAATTTCGTACGTGTACATGCACGGTTCGCAAGATTGTTATAGAAATGAAAAATAAATTTGCAACGAGAGCTGAAGTATATAACCTCGAGGCAAAAATAAAAATTTCCATTCCAATGGGCAACCTGGCAAGCAAATTAGAGATTACAGCACTAAAAAGATTCCCAATAGAGCAATTGCGATATCACCCGGGTTCCAATGTCATCAAGACAACGAAAACCTCTACGAAGTCCTGAACCATCTTGTGATGGCTAAACTCATTGCAAAATTAGCTATCATGACAGGTCAAGGAATTGCTCATAAGCCCAACAGTAAATTTTACAGCATACCTCTAAGCTACAAAAGGAAAGCCGATAGAATAGTAGAACGAAACAGTCACAAATGTGTTATATAAGCATTGAGAATGTGTTTTAATGTGCTGAAAGTAACCTCACAATTGATCTAGTCAGTAAATCTCTGACGGATTGACGCAAATTAAATATATATAGTTTGTCTCAATCTTCATCGTGCTGGCTTTTGCCTGCAGTTACGGGCCGACAGCAATAAAACTCGAGTGCGGTGGGATGGACACTCAAAGGTTTTGCTAATAATATCATTTTTTTGTTAATCGAGGTGGATATAATCTTATTTCATTACAACGACATGAAATATATACAATAAATTCATAGCCAGGAATATCTATTCATAATTACATTCTTATTCTAAATGTCCAACTCTAATTCTATTTCACTATCAGAGTCGTCCTTGAGATTAATTATAACAAGATTTATATTGTTTTGTATATAAATGTAAGAGTCCTCAATTTTTATAATGTATTGTACTGAATTTTTGTAATTAATTAGTTTTTTTATCAAATTTACAAGATTTTCCTCTCTGATCTTCGATTTTACTAGGTTCCAAAAATGCTCTATGCGGTTAAACATGCAATGATATGAAGGAAGACGTATAACAGTATGCCCAACCTGTTCCGCTAAATTATCGCATACATACTGTTTTTAACTGCATATGAATAAGCTTTTCTGTAACTGAATTCAAAATAAATATCATTTTGTAACAAATATTCCTGGATTTCAGTTTTTGAACTTGATGCGGCTGATGTTTTGCGTAGCATATATAACACTGTTACTGGGAATATTTTTTAAAAGATTGTTTTGAATCGAATTTTCAAAAAGTTCGGCACTTGTATCCTCATGATGATCCAAGCTAAAATCCTTAATAATCTTTGCAGACAACGGCAAGCAGTTTGGGACAAGTCCGTCTCCTGATCCAAAGTGTATTATGGTAATACGTTTGCGTTTATTTGAAGGTTCTTTCGTCTGACACGATGGTGATTGAGGCACACTATACAAAATAAATTAAGTTTATCCCTATCCTATCATGGCTGTTACGTATTTCTGAGAATCATTTTAGTTATATGATCTGTTCATAGATATAAGAAAGTGACCAATTACTTTTGAATGGGATTATTCAGGGGTGGTCATTAACATACAATGCAACAAGATTATTACTTAAAGTTTCGGAATTTAAATTCAGGTAAAATTGTGGTCCCTAATAGAAAATAATTTTATATCTTGGTTTGGTAAACTACTTTTAAGTTTATTAGTAATCATTCTTATTTCGTGTGTAATACAGCGTGTGTCGAATCGCGTGCGAATTCTGCAAAATATGTGCGAGTTTAGTGTATCTCAGGAGATGCTCCCGCCCAAATGTAGAAAACACTTTTCTATTGAGACTAAGGAAGTTATAAACAATGTTTATTTGACTCTAATTTAGAAGAAACGGCCACATTGACGAAAATTCCAACATCAACTGTATGGAAAATTGTGAATAATCCTATTTCAGCGAGGAAAAAAAGAAGCGATGCTGACGTTTTCTCGAGTGTATATGAAAGTGATCAAGATATAATACGGCGTAAAATTTACCAGTTATGCGGGGAACAAATCGTGCCTACATTAGATATCTTAATGAGGAGGCTTGAAAAAGATGAAACCGGGTGTTAAATGTGGCAGAACTACCTTAAGGAAGTGTATTCAACACATGGGTTTTAGATTTAAAAAAATTGACAAAAGGCAAGTTTTAATGGAGTTTTTTAGAATTCGGAAAAAAATAGGATTTACAGAGAACAACAAAGGCCAATTATTTACTTGGATGAAACCTGGTTCGACACTTATGATACCCCGGAAAAGGGTTGGGTTGACTCAACTGGTAAGTGGAAAACAAACGCACCATCAAAAAGAGGTAAAAGAATAACTATTTTGCATGCTGGCTCTAAAGATGGTTGGATTCCAAATGGACGTTCTCTGTCTGCGAAAAATATTAAAGATTCTTCTCTGGATTATCCTGAAGACACCACCGCTGCTTTATTTGAAAGTTGGTTTAAAAACAGACTAGTTCCAAACATTCTTTCTAATAGCGTCATTGTAATGGACAATGCAAGTTATCACAGTAAACAGTTGACTAAAATCCCTTCCTCATGTGACACAAAAGCTTTCGTGCCATTCGTCGTAACAATGTTTTTCCCCGTGTTAACTCCAATGTCATCAAACTTATGGAAACCGAAGTTTTTAACATCCCTAAACCCGAAACATATAGAAAAAACAGAATAATCGTATATCCATATTGCAAATAATATAGAACAAATAATAATTAGAACAGGCGATGATAGCGATGCTCATTCTGATATATTATGTGAATAATTTTAAGTAATTCAAGTAGGTACTAAAAATAATTTGTAATTCTATTTTAGACTTAAACATAAATACATAAATAAATAAATAAATATTGTTTAGTATATTTCCTAACAAAACCTCAAATAATTAAATTCTAAGCAAAGTACGGACCGCTGCGATATTTCATTCTTACAGCTTGCCTGGGTCTTTCCTTGATTCGTATCAGTTAGTCACTTTCTTATATCTATGAACAGACTGTACCCATTATTTCTTCCTTAGCTGCCTCGTCCTCGCGGAAAGAAGAGCTATAAATGTTCGCCGAAGATACCAAATATCAGCGATAAGTCAATTAGCCTATGATGCATGATAATATAAGTTTAATGTTTAAACCCAACGAACTGAAATGTCCCTATGGGGTAAATGGTCGTTAATGCACACTACGATGAATTGAAAATTTAAAAGACAAATACAGAAGGGAAAGCATTGTGGCTGACCCCAAAACCAAGAGTCTTTTAATATTACTGAAACTTTGTACGATAGAAATGCTTCGAAACATGTAGTTTTACCTGATGATGGCAATGTTTTTCCTTTTATCATAACTAGTAGATTTTATTTAAGTTGCTTAGAATTTTGAGATTTTCTCGCTTACCATATAGTGGATGATTTTAGCAAATAATTTAAAAAAATCCATTTTATTTGCGCATGAGATTCTACGTAACAATTTTCAGTATATGATTGAACTTGTATTCCTTTTTAAAATAAAAACGCGATACTTTTTTACTAATTGGTGGGTGCTATATGACATTGGGTGCTTGTGTTAATATCTGTTTTTACGTATTTTCACATAATTCTATTAAGCTCTTACTTTCTAGATATGTTTGCATATTTTCCACAGATTAACTATGTGAATTTGAAAGCTACAGTTATTTTTAAATTTTGTTTTAAAATGCACATGTAATTTTGTTTTGTTTTAATAAATATTTAGTTTTATTACTGCGTGTTATTGCGAGAAAGTTAAGTCTATTACATTTTTATACCTATGTGCTACTATGAACGTCATTTCTCCGCAAACATTGGTTAAAATGTAATTTTTTTTTTGTTTATAAATATGCTAAAATCCCAAGAATATGCAAAATACTAAGCCGATAGGAGCCCACAAGAATAACTTTTGAGATCGTCATTAAGCAGGAAGATCAAATTATAAAATACCACAAGATATTTTACGCGGATAGCAATGGAAATTTTCGGGTTGCAGGTGTCGGGGGATTCGTACATTGAAACTATTGAAATTTGTGTCCCTTGCTTAATTGCGTTCGCGTTTGTGTGAAACGAAGCTGTTTAACATTAAACACATAAAGAATAATAGTGCAAATGCCTATCCATTTCCATGTTCGCGTGTCGTGGTTACCGATTTTCCATGCATCGTGGTTCCTAAACCGACGAAGTGATATTCAAACTAAATTCCGTTAGAATTGCGACGTATTCGGAGTCGTATAATTTTCCGCAAATGGCGACTCCTAATGACACATATGGATCGGTTTCGCAACGGCGGTTACAAATTTCGATTACGCTGCTTAAATTATTGAACACCTATTGTTTATTAATGGCACCATTAATAGATTGAGGTTACTAATACAACGCCGGATTAACCTGGATTAGTCTGTAGGGGAAAGAACGAATAAAAGGATGCCAGGATATTAAATGATGATATTAATTGTATCAAATAAAAGAGGCCAGAACAGACATTTACCACTCAAAACCCGATAGAAGTTTAAACGAAATAAAATTGCAAATCCACTGGCCCGTCCCCCAGGAATTATAAATGAAAATAGACTAACGAAACAACTTCAAACTGTGTTCTTTGAAGACAAACATTTATCAAGTTGACAACAATTTGGAATGCTGCAACTTTGAAAAAAAAACTGAAAAAACCTCAATAAAAAACTGTTTTGAAATTTAGATTGTGCAAAAACTTCAAAGCATGATATCGAGAAGGTAGATGCAACTTCGTTGTTGAACTTTAGAAGTAAATCATAATATGACAGCTTATACAGGGTGATTCATACAATGGAGATACTAGATACTAAAATATTATGATTGATCTCGACATGTTGATACAAATTTCGCTGGTGTCGGAGATACAGGGCGATCAAACTTTAAATTTTATTATGAATTTTTTCACAAATTTGAAACTTATTTGGATCTTGCTTTTTGATCGTATTTTTTGCTATCGAGTTATGGTTGATGAAAATCTGAAAGGATATTAATTTTTTTATATTGAAAGTACTGTCGTTACCGCCTAATTCTGTCGGTTTTTGACTTATTTCAATTGAAAATATTAAAGGTATTTTTTCTGATTTTAACATAAGGGACGAGTATATAAAAAATTAGGTTGCTTACTCTGCAAGACTTTCTAATGAAGTTTTTTACTTAAAGGAGCTCAGGAATTACCCGACTCAGTATTAACAAATCATTAAGGAACACTCTGTATAATTTGATATAAAATGACAATACATTCGAATTGGTCGTATAGTCTCACAAATTCTTTGTGTTCAAGTTACCCAAAAAAAATTAAAAAAGTCTTAACTTTAAGAAACATTTGGATTCGATTCACAATTGCATAAAATGTTAATGATTTAAACTGCGTTATTTTTTATTACCCAAAGAGAGAGTTTCAATCTCGTCAATCTGCGGCAACGCTGGTCGTTCTGGTCCGGACTTTTCTGTGATCAAAAACTGGACATGATCGCACTCCTCCTTGGTTTTGAGGATCTCAATTTCCACCTCGGTCTCATGCAGTTTGCTTGCGACGGTCTGAAAGATCCACCATTATCTCTGGTACTTGTTATTTAATTATACGGAGAAAAAAATGAATATTTTTATTCATCACGTATTTTTCAATATCGTGTCAAGAGTTTTCTCTATATGACAAAATTGTTAGAGACGGCCAGCAGTTTTAATACTAAAAAGAATATACTTATGATTTTTGGTCCGGAAAGTGTGTTATTTTTCTCCTTTAATTCCTTTGTATTTTAAAAATTCCATTATATTTTTTAAAGTGGGTGCAGTTATTTTACTGGTGGTCATAGTAGTTACAGAAACACTGCTTTTTCTAAATGGGCATGCCTTCTTTGCATTAAAGAATTTCCCCAAGACAGGGGAAAACTAAAACCGACAGCCATCCAGACAGAGAAGATATGCCAGTCAGAAATCAAAAATAATAATAAATAAAAAACAAAGTAAAAGAAAATAATCGTCATTAGATGATGAAGTTGCTAGGATGGAAGATGTATTGTGGAAAGGAATATTTTGAAAACCACAAAAACAGATGCCTGTGCCATTACCGTTTATGGATCTTATCCAACCTTTGGGGTAGAGATGGTCAAATGAAAAAAATTGTTGGATTTGTTTTTTTTTTTGAAACTTTTAGTAATTATTTTTGATAAATAAAACCTGATATACCCGCATAGATGTTGTCTTAAACATATCTACCAACTTTTTGAACAAAACCTCTTTCTTGCAACTCCGAAATACCTTTACGATCCCAATAACGATGTGTTCCAATCCAGGTCTGTCGGAATAATAATGCAGAATAAGCGCACCATCTTCTGGCCGTTCCGTGCACCGGAAAGAAGGAGCCTTCATGCCCGGATAGAGAGTTCCCAAATGATCGTGTAGAGCGTCGAGGTTCTGCAAATAATTCGAGCCAAATTTAATCCGGGAGTACCATTAAGATTATTATAAGAAATATTTACTCAGTGTCGAAAAACGTGGCTTCTAGCAGGGAGATGGCGCTGCAAGTTACTTTTGGATTTACAGGGTATTCCTTAATGATGCGCTAATGGTATAATAGTAATAGGGAATAAATAATTGCTGGGCTGGGCTTTTTTTTATAATATCTAAGAAACTATTAAGAGTATCTGTCTCAAACTCGGTAAGCACTTCCTTTTTTTTTCCAGGAGTGACATTTTTGTGGCCTTTCATGTGAATATTTTATTTGTCACTTATGCATAAAAGTCACCTCTTGCATTTTGCTTGTTAGTTGCACTGTTCTTGTCTAAAATAATCTATTTAAATGAATTAAAAATTAGTGATGATGATATGGTAAATTAAAAGCTAGGCGTTTTTTCACGAAAGACTTCCTAGCACGTAGGTGAATTATTTCTAATATTTACCGAAGACGAGTTCAAATAAAATTACTTAATTTTGTCTATCATAATACCTTGCTGGAATTACCTGGATTGCCGGAAGATGTGCCAATTTCATATTGAGTAAGCGTGGCACGTGGCATCAATCAGTCAGTGCTGCAAAATGTACCACTTTCACTTCAAGAAAAATGAAAAAAGTAACATTTATGCAGATATGGCAGTGACTACCATTTTTTCTCATCATTGGTAGGAATAAAAAAAGTCTGGTGCATCGAATGCACTTACAATGACATATTCGAATCGATTTTTAGATAACATTTTTTTTTAAATTTTATCACCATGTATCTCAAAATTGAAAACGTTTATATTAATTAGTATTAACAAATCATTAAGGAACGCTCTGCCTAATTTGATTTAAAATTAAGGCCAATTCAAATTGCTTTGGTCATTAAATTTACTTAGATTTATATATTGCATGAATCAAAAAAAGACTAAATTTAATAGGAAATATTTTAAAGCATTTAAAGGAAACTCGATTTTCGGCGACTCGGTGGAATTCCTTAAACCTAAACCAAGTAAAACAAACATTGTTACCTGAAGAAAATCCCTGGGAGTCGCTCCCAAGACTTGAAGGATTTTGTCGTATCCCGAATCTTGGCAGAACTCGAAAAATGTTTTTCCGAACAGTTCGAGAATTGTATTCGCTGGAATTTCTAGATAAAAAAAACGCTCCTCAGAATATAGCCATATTGCTAAATACCGAAATTAAACGCAATAAAATTTTCGTAAATTACAGTCGACCTTTCAGTAATACTTAGCTCTGGTGATTCTAGGATAAATTTAAGAAAGTATCAGTCAGTCAATTAACTTGTCATGTAAAGCCAAAATTATTTTAAATTTTTAGTTGAGCTTGACGTGGTGGAGAAATTAAAGATAAATAATTATTTAGCACCTAATTTCCCGGGCGTTCTCGATTGAATCCACAAATTTTAAATAAGATTGTGACGTTTTATTTTCAGAAAAGCCCAATTTATTAGAAAATAGTATATTTATTGGACCTATATCACATTATACATATACTCTGTTTACTATTTTTAACTGCTCAGGTTTTGGAACTTAGTAAATTGCATGCTAGTTTTTGGGAAGAAATACTATATTGACCCTCAAGTTTTAGTTAATTACTTTAGTCACGAGTTTGTGTTGGAGCGAACAGAACTCGACAGTCCAACTTTATGAAGTGTAGGTTATTCCTAATATAGGAACAAAATTCCAAATAAATTTAAAGATCTTTATATTTTTCGCATTTTTGAGCAGAAACCTCTAACGTTAGAAAGAATAAAAATATTTCCATTTTTTTAAAGTTAAATTTCACTTCGTATGCAGGATATTATTTAAATATTTAACTTTAGGGAATGATTTCATAGTTTTTTTTAAAACAAAAATTTGGTATATATATAGACCTTGGTTGTTGAGATACGGAGGTTTTCATTTTTATTTTTATAACTGGTAGAGTTACAAAAAGGGAAGTAAATAATTTTTAAATTTTCCCATTTCAAATCACATGTATCGGCAAGGGCTGCTGATAGCAATTTCTAGCGATTTCTATGTAAAATGACACAAAATGACACAATACGTATAAAAAGATTATAATGTTTTGAAAGATTAAAGAGACATGTAGGTGACGCCCACTACAGTACAAGCAGATAACAATTTATTATATTACTTAATATTTTTTGGGAAAGGGTAAAACAAAAATTAAACTTTAACATCATGCATCTCAAAAACGAAGATCTTGCTGACCCATATTTTTTCAAATTTACTATGGAATAATTACTTAAAGTAAAACTACATACTTAATTAACAACCTGTAGACTAGGTGAAATTTAAAATAAAAAGATAATATTTTCATATTTGCCAATTGCTTAGCATAAATAAATTTAATTTTGTATTTTAAAACCTTTCGTCTGTATCCTTATTGTGACGTTGTAATATAAAAACATCTTCCAATTTAATTAAAAACATTTAAATCAAAGTTGAAACGCTTTCCCGGACAATAATATTAATACGGGGAATAAGTGCCACTTCATAAAAACGAGTCACTCGAAAGTTATCGCGCCTCCAACCTTCCCAAACGACGTTTTGCTCAAAATAGAGCTTTCACGCGGATTTTCCACTTTCACCCGTGAATGGAAAACTCAGGCACCGTGCATAAAAAGCTCATTGATTTTTATACGTCAACGATTTCAGAAGCAATATAAAACGTTTTGTCATTTCGAGGGCTCGACGAGCACATTTCCTCGTTAAAGGTTTGGTAAAAAAGTCGATAATATCTTCCATCAACTGCTGGAAACTCCGCAAAGGTTAATTTTGCAATGTTTGCAACGGCATGGTATCTGGACAATGAGTAGATATACAGGGTTGCCACTTGTTGAATGGGATTGTATGGGTTACTTTTAAGCCGCAAAAGAGTCATGGAATAAAAGTTGTGGATTAAGATGCATAATTCCTACCAAAATTAAATTATCAGAGGTGGACTAAACAATATTTTAGAAAAACCAAATTTCTTTCTTTTTAGTGTTTATTTATCTGAAATTCTACATATAGTGTAACTGAAAACTTAGGGTGAAAAAAATGGTGCAAATTATGTTTAAATTTCAGATTACAGATAACGAAAATTAACACTATTTTACCCGCTTAATGCACACCTGACATATACGGGAAACGTTTACCGAAAGAATTGCGCAGCTCCGTGAACGTCAGGTCCACTCTAATGTTTGTTTCAAAATATTACAGCTTCCAAATATTTTAAGTCAGTAGCTGTTACGTTGGTTGGTAGATTATTGCCATTCTCGGAATTTGCGTTTGCTTATGCTAAGACTAGAGCCAGATATTTGTGACTCACATTATCATTCTAAAAGTTACCTTTTTCATGTGCGAACGTGTAGTTTATGCAGTGATATTTGAAAATCCAAGACATTTTGCTAGAATAAGTTTTTCGCTAGTCTAACAATATAATATATTTTATCTCAGGTATTTAATCTGCAGGTAAGATTTTTTTGTAATGAAAGTTTAGAAATTTTTTTAGAAAAATTTGTTCAGCCAAATGTCTGACCAAGAGGATTCTGAACTTGAGTATGCCAATTTATCAGAAAGCGGAAGTGACGATAGCGATGTAGAATCGGATTCGGAGGAAAGCGAGGATGATGACGAATGGAATGATATCTGGCAACAAATAAGTACAGTTCAGCACCACCACGTTTCCAGTTTATTGATGTTCCGGGTTGTACATTCAATGCAGATAATTTTGCAGTCTTGGGTTATTTCCAATTTGATATTGAATTGAAAAACTCATTGGTTACCGAATCTAATCGATATGCAGAACAATAACTACCACGATCGTCAGATGTTTTATTGTCTATAAAAATATGCATAAATATAATTCAAGGAATACTAAAAAAGCCAGAAGAAAAAACGTTGGAACAACTAAAAACGTTTTTGCTACTCCAATATTTGCAAAACTAATGTCTTTACAAGCGATATTCATACATAAGAAAATACGTTTTTCTGATAATGAATCATATGAAACATGATAAGGAATCATAAGAAAAGTGTGTATATTTTATATACCCGAACGAGACATGAGTGTCGATGAAAGTTTGTTAATGTACAAAAGAGGATTATCCAGTACATCCCTCTAAAACAATCGCGTTTTGGGATAAAAATCTACATCCTCTGCGAATCTAAAACAGGCTATTTGTATTCGTTTATTATTTATACTGAAAAGGAACTATAATATCCCAAAAATATAAGGACATGCCTATGACTTCACAGGTCGTATTGTCGTTAGTAGATTGTCTATTAGAAGTGGTATGACAAGGAAGAAATTTGGCTCTTTTCGACAATTCGCAATCCCGAAAATGTCCTAACTGCAAAGAAAGATAAAGAAGGAAATCTCATAAAGAAACTTAAATTAGTTGTGAACTGCAATAACACCATGGAAGGCGTCGATAGATTAGATCAACACTTACATGACTACTAACTAACTTAAAAACGGGGGATAAATATTATAAAAAAATATTTACGCATTTATTTGATTTTGCTATTTTCAACTCTTTTATTTTGTACAAAAAGAACGTAAGAGGGATGGATAATTTGAAATACAGAACAAAACTGATAGAAGAAATGAGAAATATCACTTGAGTACAAAAGTCAAGAAGGCAGTGCGAAGAAAGGCTGTACCTTATAGAAATTGTGCGGTATGTTGTTTAAGAAAAGACAGCACGGGCAAAAAAATCAGAAAAGAAACAAAATTTTAGTGCAGTTAGTGCGACGTGGGACTCTGCGTAGTATGGTCTGTTCATAGATATAAGAAAGTGACCAATTGATTTGAACGAATTATCCAAAGCAATTGGATACTTTCTTATATCTATGAACAGATCATACCTTGTTTAAAATTTTACCATACACACTTAAAATATCAATAATTTTTTTTGCATAAATTGGTTAGAATAAGCATAAATAATAATTCTTTGCAAAAAAAATAAATGATTTTTTATGTACCTAAATTGATTTTGAAATGTGCATTAAAGGGTTAAAGGGATAAATTCGATTCGATCTTCGTATTATTGGTTTTGCTTTCCTTTTAAGGGAAAGTGGTTGCAGGGGTCCAAACATTTTCGTAAATAAATGTGAATAAAAGCAGAATGATTTTTTGGAGTCGTTGGAAGTTCGGCCATCTGCGCTGTTCTGAATATATTGATTTAAATGCAACGATGTCACTTTTATTGCACCAAAAGGTAGCCAGTTAAAGGTATAATACGTTAGTGAAAACCGCATATCGATATCTCTTTCCTAATCTATTATATCAGAGAGTCGCCCCTTCTGGGAATATTTTCAGAATACCTACCATTATTAAATGTTAACATTCGTTCTTTTAGCAAAATATAGCTACTGTTAAAACATCAGCTTTATATAAAAAATGTCAGTATTAATTAATTCCTATTCTCATATGTTTGAATATTAAAAAAAAATATATTACAATAACGCGGATAAAACACTAACACTGCAGAAGACTCCATCACATATATTTTAACATTTTCAATGTTTTGAAAATAAACACGTAACATATCAAGCTCTTCTACAGGCGGAAAAGGTATTTTTTGTAATATATAAGGTTGTTCGGAAAGTCATTCCTTTTTTTCCCGTCAGAGGACTTAATTACGTTTTTTCGAAACCAACTTCACACTTAAGCCGCATAACCATTATATGTCTTGAGAGCTGATATTGCAAGGCTTGTGTGTGAAAAAGTTCTATTAATTCTACGCAGTAGTTTTTGGTTGGTGCCCTTTTAAATATGGAGAGCAATAAGCAGCATTTTCGTCTAATTTTACTTTTTTACTTCAGAAAAGGTAAAAATGCTGTCCAAGCGAGAAAAAAATTGACGGATGTGTATGGAGAAGGCGTGTTAACAGTACGCCAGTGCCAGAACTGGTTTGCAAAATTTCGATCCGGCAATTTTGATGTCGAAGATGCACCACGGTCTGGAAGGCCGGTCGAAGCTGACAAAGATGCGATAAAGGCATTAGTTGATGCAAATCGGCGAATAATCACACGAGAGATCGGTGAGAGATTAAATTTGTCGAATTCGACTGTTTATGGCCATTTGAAAGGCATGGGCTTAACCTCGAAGCTCGATGTGTGGGTGCCCCATGTCCTTACGGAGCGAAATTTGTGTCGTCGCGTTGACGTGTGTGATTCGCTCCTCAAACGTCAAGAAAATGATCCATTTTTGAAGCGGATTATTACTGGGGACGAAAAATGGGTTGTATACAACAATGTTAAACGCAAGAGGTCATGGAGCAGAAAAGATGAACCGGCTCAAAGCGTGTCAAAAGCCAACATTCACCAAAAAAAGGTGATGCTCTCCGTTTGGTGGGATGTCAAAGGAATCGTTTTTTTTTAAGCTTTTGCCGGACAATACAACGATTAATTCAGAAGTCTATTGTCATCAACTGGACAAATTGAATGATTCACTTAAAGAGAAGAGGCCCGAATTAATCAACAGGAAGGGTGTAGTGTTCCACCAGGATAATGCGAGACCTCACACAAGTTTGGTCACTCGCCAAAAACTTTTAGAGCTTGAATGGGACGTACTGCAACATCCACCATATTCTCCAGATCTGGCGCCTTCCGACTACTATTTGTTCCGGTCCCTGCAAAATTTTTTGGATGGCAAAACCTTTACCTCAAATGAAGATGTCAAAATCCACCTGAGCCAGTTTTTTGCCAGCAAGGACCAAAACTTTTTTGAGAGGGGAATTATGTTACTGCCAGAAAGATGGTAAAAGGTGTTGGATCAGAATGGCCAATATATAATTTAATAAAATATTTATTCATTATACGAAAACTGTCTTTCATGTTCCCCAAAAAAAACGAAATGACTTTCCGAACAACCCAGCATTTTCTCTTGACACCTTTAGCTATAAGTTTTTAATAACTTTGCATCCTAGTGCGTTTTTCAGTATATGAAAAAATTTACAAACGAATACGTCAAGTTTAAAAGTTAGCGCACAAAAAAAAAACATTAGTAATAGCTTAAAAAGAGCGAAATGAATGCTTACCCACAATGAGCGAGAAAATTTTTGAAAAAAATCTTTTTTTTTTTTGCTGTTCGCGAAAAGCGTATGTCTATGGCTTATTAGAGGCTTGTATGAGGCGATTTCTTAAGAAGTTTGGGATATTCCAGCGCTGTCACAGCTACCCTTACCATGGCCGTATATCTTAGATAATATAAAAAAATGTGAAAATTTTTATGTTTATATTATCTTTAAGTTATCGCATACAAAATGCACATTTTGCAACATATGTAACTCTAGACTTATTGCAAATTTAGAGGGTTGTGCACATGTGCACATATACTTAGTTGACGCCTAATCTGTTTCCTCACACCGTTAATAGTTAAATAAAAAGTTTAGTTTATGGAGTTTTTAAAGTTTATCGCTATTCTTCTGAACTTCTTTTCATGCATCTGATGCAAATTTAGGCAAAATTCACACAATATATATCACTATTATGTCTGTTTGCTTTCAGCTCCAAAACGGTTCAAAATAGGTATGACATCTTATAATAATCAAATCAAGAATGAACTGCTTTTTTATTGCTTTCATCGCTTACTTTATGTATTTTGAAAAATATGATTGTATTCGATAATTGAAATCGGATACGTAATAATGTATATTGTCAAGCCAAAACCATAATTTCATATTTACCTAACACACTAACAAAGTTTATATTGTATTGTTTTAGTATTTTTATATCCACAACAGCTAAAAAGAGCTTTTTCCATTCCCTATTTACTTCTTTAAGGCAATGAAGTTTGTATAAAAAAACTTTCGAGAACATCCCACAAATTTTATTTATCCATTTCAAGTGTGTAGCGGTTTAGATGCACCTCATAAATTATTAGATGCACTCGATTTTCAGTCGCCGAAGATCAAAAAGTACGTGTGATGTATATGTTAATAACGAAACGTCACGATCAAGGGACGCCGCTGCTTGATATTAGTTAATCAAAGTGCGTTCGTTACTAGATTTGCGAGAATGTTTATGCAGTTTGCATTTTATCTTCCTCTAATGAAACCTTTCCATCAAAATTATTATGTGTTGTTTGTCAGAAAGGGGCAAAACCCAAGTTATTGACAGGCACTTTTTAAGCAATTAACGCGTATGTGATGGAGTTTTTATTACCTACGAGGTTGAGAAGCTTGTATGACGGAACCAGCAAATCCACAATGAAAGGTGAAGACTGAAGGACAACGAATAGGAACGTCTGTTTAGGTTTGCATATTAAAACCAACAATTATTATTATGATGGTAGGACATCAGGTGCTTAGTGAGCTCCAAGTCAATTTTATAACGTTAGTTTTAAATAGCTAGAAACTCTTTTAAATTAGGTGAAAGTTCTGGAATTTTTCATTTAAATGTGCTTTCCGGCTAATGTTTCTATTTTTTGTAAAGTATTTTAATAAATAAACAAAATAAATACATTATGTTATACTGCAAAATTTCAGATTTTTAGCCAAAGTGGTTAGAATATAACAAATAGGTTAACGTTTTCGCCAGTTGAGGAACTGTTATTCTGATTCGGGTCTAAAACGCCGGACGGATTTTAAATCTACCAATAATGACCTCCTATACATCATATACATCATAATAGGTTATCGATTTGAGAAAATATATACATACATACATTTCTTACTTACAAACATTCAAACTCAAATTTGCAGAGTTTAATATTTTTATAAAAACTAAAACTTGCAAGAAAAAAATGCTACTAAATAATAACTGACAAACCACGTTTTTAGATTTAAGAGAAAGAGAAGACGAATATTTAAAGAATCAAATATGTATGAAAAAATTGGTGTTACATTCCGTAGAAGGTTTTTTAAAAATTAATGGCGAGAGAAGAAATTTTTTTGAAAAATAAAAAATATATGTATAACATGGTGTTATACGTGATAGATATTTCCCTGTACGTAAGCACGACTGACCCAAAAGCGTCTGTCTCTCTACCCGTGTTCGGTCAGAAAAGCATTTTCTACATATTCAAAACATTTTTTATTTTAAGGAAATGATCCAAATAATGGATATGGTCTTTTATGGTTTATTATTTAAAAAGAAGAAAAAGATCTAAAACCATTTTCAGGAAAAAGTCTTTGAAGACTTTGCTTATTAGATATTTGAAGAAATAAGTGAATCTAACTTTAGAAGAACTTAAGCAAACACAATTTGCCTCAAAAATAAACATAAACCATAAACATTCAGGGTGATAAATTTCAACCTTTGCAAAAGCATCAATGGTGTCTCTATATCTATATCTCTATATCTAGTATCTTTTATATGTAAAATGAAAATACTGAAGTTATCTTTTATTAAAATATTTGCCATTGACTAATATAATTGACTAATTTTTACATATATTTTTAGTTTTTAAAAATTTCTCTTTCTTTTCTCTTAATTCCAAAAACGCGTTTTTGATAGCTTTGACGGCAGCCATCGGTTCCGTTTGTAAGGGGCATATAAACTTTCATATTTGTTAATAGCATTTCTTTCTTTCAATTTCCAGTTTCTATTAAAATATTGGTTCAAAAGAACTTCGTCTTTAACTTCATATACATAAAAAAAAACCTTTCACCAGCATAGTAGTTATGCGGGATTAATATGTAATAGTCACATTTCTTCATTTTCATAAATATTCTACCTAGAGATTTCGATAAGGTTGGCAAGTTTCCGAAATTTTTAAATTCTTGGCGCAATATATGTAATCTGCATTTTGATGCAAAAATATCGAAGTCCAATCAAACCTAGAAAAGCATCTATCCCGATCGCCAAATTTCCATTCGGAATATCTATTACCTCGTTTAAACTTACTTAAGACTTCGACTGCAGCCGATATTAAATTATAAGTTAGTTCGTCCTCGTATATCTGGCGTACCAAAAATTGACCTTCCATCTGAACTTCGGCATTCTTCCTGCAAAAGAAATCCTTTCGTTGAGTCTCTCTTAATATGAAAACTTTTTCGGCCGAAAGCTTGGAATGAAGGATAATGCGAGTCGATTCGATAATACGACGAAAAGGTTTCGTTGGGACGATATCACGGAAAATATTAACTCTCAGTCTGGTCTACTTTTTGTTTGAACAACGATCGAGGGGGATTTCAATAGTGGATCTGCGTACACTAAATTACAAGTTAAGTAAAGAAAACTTTTTAAATGTAACACATAATAACAAAATCACGAAAATCAATAAGAGGAAAAAAAGTCAAAACTCAAATTATTTCTTCCCTGCAATTCAACTTCTTAAAAATATTTTGAAAAAGTGAAACATATTCAGGATAAAACTCACATTTTCATAGCCTAAATTTGTAGCAAAATGTAACTTGTTAAACTAAATTGTTCCCAAAACTAAATTTATTTATAATACATTTTTAAATTTGTATAAGCGTTCTTTCAGAATTTATAAGTTTTTGTTTATATTTACTAATTTCAACACTTTTAAGGAAAAACGGGGACCTAATTCAGAGGTCACTATAAAATATTACTTCTTATTTTAGCTGCGTGAATTTGTTTTTGCCAATAAAACAGATTACTGGAGATATTTAGTTCATTTTAGATCTTCATTTTTGAATTTGTACATAACATATTATTTCACAATTTTTTTTCAGAATTAAAAGTGTTGCGGACAACTTATTACCACAATTTTTTTTACCTTCAAAATTTTCTTATCCAATATTACCACTATAATTATCAGCAATAACCAGTCACTTTACTTTAACTATGAACTCTCCCTCAACAAAGTGGCTCAGCGAAGTTATTACTTTATATTTTTCTATGTGTCTGTTGAAACGTTAGCCTCCCTTCTGTTAGTATTCCTGTGAAACTTTACAGATGTTTTTTTCCAATATTTTGGGAATTTGGTATTATTCCAATTAAAATATTTTTTTTAAAGTCTGTATTCGGGGACGTTATTGTATAACCTGTTCGCAAATGGACAAATTTAAATGGTAAGTATTAATTTTTTTATTGTGACTTATGAATGGATTGGAGGAAGTAATTAAATTATTTTATAGGCTATGGTTATGCTAATGAGCAATCATAATCGATTCTTTTTGTTAATAAGATGACTACACTCTACAGTTACGCGAACAGTGTTAATGCGTAAATTTTAATAGGATAAGGTTTGATTAATTTACCAGGGATGTTTAATGTAATGAATTATTGCTCTTTAGTCACTACCACATCTTAGTTAGTTAGGGTACTTACTTGATTGTTTCCCAAGTTTTTTCGCCAAATGATTTGATTACCAGAAGCTCCAATGCATAGTTTACGAACCCATACTGAAAAATGAGATTACTACTGAATTTCAAGTAGAACTAAAAATTAAAATTTAATTATAACCAAAAGAGCTTATGCGGATTCAATATGTTTTCAATTTATTTTTAATTAAAAACCCACGTTGATAACATCTCTATTTTTCGGAAAATTTAAGGCACTGTTCTAAAACAAATTGATTTTAAAAGCTTTTAATTGGAATGCTAATAAATCAGTATGTTTCTAATTAGGAAAATCAAATAATATTATTTTTTTAAATTTATTTATTTTTAGTTTGGAATATCCATAACTCTAGATATATGCTGATAACATGCTAAATTCAACATCAAAAAGGATCGACATTCAATATGAACATGCGCGAGTCACTTTAAATCTCGTTTCCAACCAATAAAACCTTGCGGCCTTCAAAAACCATCATGGCCGCTGACAGTTAGTGAATTCCACAGTTTTTAGTTTTAATGACGGCAGTATTTTGTCATTAAATTTTTGTGCGAAAACCAGAGTTTTAGTGATATCACATTTTGGTAACAAAAAAAAGAAAAATAGTTAATATTTCCAAAAAATACTAAAGCAGTGAATCTAAAAAACTAATAAAATGTCATATTATTTTTTTCTCGTAAAAAAATATTTTAGTTCGATAAACAAGAATTCAAATGTTTGAAAAGAATGTATTCTCGATTAACTTCTAACCATCAATCGTCCAGTATATTAGCTGCATCATCCCTTCCAAATTTGGATTTGTTTATTAATATTAGCTTTACACATGTGCGCTCGTTACCTTTATCATTTAAATTAGTCGACGGCAAACCTAAAAATAGTAAACAACTTGTACCACCTATGACATAAGGTGTCTGTCCCGATTTATTTAGTTGCTTAAATGGCCGGTAACTTTCCAACCCGAAATTTGTTTCCGAAAGAATATCCAAGTGCGGTTGCTATTTCATTTCCATGAAATGTTAGTGTTTTCATGTGCCTATAAAAAGCCTATGTATTAGGGATAAAATAATATCAGGTATTTATTTTTTTTTTCTGTAAAGATCATCGAAAACGAATCGAAACTATTGAAACATTTGCGCAATAATTCGTAATAAATGATTAACCCACGTAGGAAACGCGTTACTGAATTAAGCACGAAAAAAGTTTCATCTCCTTACCATATCGCCACCAAGGCACAATTTACACGTAAACTTGCTAGCGAATCGAAATGATGCGAGGATGGTTGCCAGAGTATTTAGCGCACTGAAAGCTAAAGGAGAATCCCTAAAATTTCAGACGGCGCACGGTCATCGATTGGATGTGAACGCTTGCGTTGAAACTCTGCGCCAGTAAGAATTTCTTTCCCGACTTTTGAAAAGCGTCCGTTTTGGCTGACTTTTCTGAGCGATATTGGCGCAATTGAAAACATTGCCCTCCACTCATTCATTTGTCATCCCCAATAAACTCAACTCACCCTCAAGGTAACTTCTCACTCTCACAAGTGAGCTAGAAGAAAGATGCGAAAGAACTTGAAAGTATACATGTTATAATAAGCTGATCTTCGATTAGGTAATCCCCATGAGTAAACCGCAGAGGAATTTTAGTCTACAGGGTAGTCGTAATTGGGGTGTTTTATTTATTTAATTTATTTATTTATCATTTAATGGTTAAAATCACATGACGATATCTTCACTACCAATCGAGATATAGGGCTTTTTTTTTCAAAAAAACATCCACAGGCTACTGTAATACTTTTTACAAAACTTCTGGATTCCTCCTGCGTCGAACTTGCTGACGTTTCGCCAATTATCCTATTGGCTTCTTCAGAGCTTGGCTCCGCTCCCCTCAAAAAATATATAAGCAGGTCGAGAGTAAAAATGCTAGACAGTTTCAGTAAAGCTCTGAAGAAACCAACAGGATGATTGGCGAAACGTCAGCAAATTTGACTCAGAAAAAATCGACACAGGAGGAATTCTGAGGAATTTTCGGCCTTTTGAAAATTGCCTTTAACTTTTTTATTTATGAAATTTTTGTATTCGGAGAAAAACAACAAACATCAGGCAAAGGCGAATGCAGTGTTGCATTATGTCAAACGAAAACCCAATCAACTTTATTTCAATACATATCCAGAGCGGCACCAACCAGGCAAGCGAATATTTCGGACGTTAAAAAATAATTCAACAAATTACAGAAGTTTCAAAAAGTCAAGGCAAAATCAAAACCACTGAAGTGAAGAACGGGAAATCCGGGAAAAATTGACCAGTTGACGCAACAAATACTGGAAAAATTAAAGTTTTGTTTAAAAAAACATAAATTAAATCCATATCGTACCAGAAAAATCCATTAATTACATAACAGGATGCCGGTAGAACAATACAATTTTGCAACTAGTTTATCGGAAATTGCAATGAAAACATTATTTTTGCGTTGTTTATTGTTTGTAGTGATGAGGCGAGAATTAACTGTTCCGGAATATTTAACAGATACAATTTTTATAGCTGTAGCACAGAAAATCCACATGCTATAGTGCATCAAAATGTGCAAGGCTGATTTGGATTCAATATATCGTTGGGGATTTTCCGGGGTAGATTTGTATGACAGTAATTTACACAACAATCTTTGTTTTTAGCTGTATGTAAGTTCTATTAGTTTTTAATATAGTATATTAATGAATATAGTGAAGAGGCAAAGTAAACCAAACTTTTCGGACAACGAAGAAGATGCTTTAATTTATTTAGTGAAAGAATAAAACTGATAACAACGGTTAAAGGAAATAACATTTTCAGGACTTGAGATGTCCTAAATTTGTTTATACATACATGAAAAATATTTAAGGCAGCAGCCTATAAAAAGGACATCATATATTTAACTGGCGTGGGTCTAGCATTAGCATCATTTTCAGATACTGGGAAAAAATATTGTCGATTAAGAGTGATAAAACCATATTTGGACTTGCAAATATATGTGCTAGTGATGCTCTGGAACTCGAAGCCAAAGTTGAACGGGCAGTTCAAGTCAACTTCAAGTAATTGCTTAATCAATGATACATTGACATTCAAAAAAGTATTTCAAATTTTAAGTTAAAATGGAGTTTTACAAATGTTTCAGGAAAAAACTAACCCCAAATATTATAAGGCTACAGATCTAAAAATATGTTCATACATGTTTAACCAAAAAAGCTGCAACTATAAATATCATTTCAGATATTGATGTATATTAATTTACAAATATCAATAGTCCCAACAGACGAAGGCCTACTGCTGTCACTATAATAACTTTAAACTCTTCGAGTGAAATAACAATTTTTGGCAGAAGAGAAAATAGAGTTAGCAGAGCCCATTATAAAGGAGCATGAAGCTCGCAATGTCCTAGATCTGCAAATAAAAATTAAAAGTAAAGAACTGGAAAAACAAAATTCTTAGATTTGGATCTATTTTTCTGGATCTTTTCTTATTCTAAAACTTTGACAATATTGGAAAGTCAAATAAAGTGAAATCAAGTTCATCAAATCAAAATCAAATCAAATCTTCCGATAGATTAGGGCTACGAACATAGAGAAATTTGTTTAGTGAATTACTATTTTATATCTAGTATTTTTCAAAGATAAGATAATCTCGGGTTATGAACACTGGATTAAAGAAACGATGGAAGTGAAATGTTTGCTTTAATCCAGGATTTGACATGGGCATAAAAAGATCATATTTTATATATAATTACTTTAATTAAATTTTACTTTTGAAGTACATAATTTAATTTTGACAAACTAGTAATTATTAATATTCATTGCATATTCCATATTCATGCAAGAACCTAATCACTGGTAACAATAATGCAAATATTCTACAAGCATTTAATATAATAATAATAATAAACCTTATTCTATCTTTTCCTTTTAGACAAACCGCAACATATTTTTTAAAATCCTTATACACTATTGCACTCTTTGATTTTCTCTGGATGGTTATTATAATCTACCAGTCTCTTTTGAAATAAGCAATGTTGAATAAACGTAGCGGTTACAGTACAGAATAGATTCTCCTAGATCGAATTTCATAATGAGGAATATAAGTCCCAAATTTCAGCTGATCTGAAAAATGTTTGAGGTGCGCCTTGTATTTTAATATATGCGTGCATATTATTTACGCCTTGCAATAATTCCTGCTTTTTTGGAAAATATTGAATTGACCGTTGTTTCGGATTTACCTGATGTACACGTATATCAAAATATACTAATCATCAATCAAGTTTTCAGAGCGCGATTCGAGAATCGCCTCTTGTCGGCCTCTCCAAACCCCTTTCGTTATAAACACACATATACACAATTTTTGTGTTTGCCGGGCGTTAATTTAAAGGACATTTCGACTTGTTATTGGCAGAGGTTTTCAATCGGAATTTTCGATTTTTATAGGTCGTTGACGCGTCAATGGAAACTTTCACCGATATTTAACAAACAGCCACTTAAATCATAAAAAAAAACAGGAAAAATATCCCATGTACCTGACTGTAGAGTGCGACGATCAAATTTAAAACTAAAATCAATTTCGTATAATGACTTTTCGGTGCGCGTTTCACAAACATTAAGCTTTGTTTGGTTTCGCTTTGGAGCCGTTTGATGGGACGGAAATTGCCCCGCTTTGAATATTAATTTAAAAAAAACTTTCGACTTTTTAATTGGCGAAAAAAACCGCTGCATGCGGAACGTTGGTATGAACAGAACATATAACCCTGCCGATATGGTAGTTAGCGTGATGGAATACTTGGTTAGGTATCTGGAATTATCTGTTCATCTCAGCACGCTGTGCAAATAATGTTTTGTTGCTGACAGTTCTAGTTATACACGGTCAATGAACTCAGTACAAACTCGATTTTGTTAGGCAAATTTTATTTAGAGGGGACGGGCAATAATTGATATTTTTTTCTTAGTCACACACTTGAATACAAAAGGCAGACAAGTGGAATAAGAAATTGTTTTTTATCATTTCCTAATTTTTTTTTCTACTTCTTTGGGATTTTTAATCGTAAATTGTTTGCTAAAATCTACTTTGTGAATTCATGCTAACCATTTTTTGAACTAAGCGTTATGACTAAAATGAACCGCAGATGAAGTGGAGAATTCAATGATTTGTCTAATTTTAACTAGGTATAACTTTGAAATGTCTTTGCCGATATTGGATTTTTGGTTAGTGGTGCTAAGAGTAGTCTATACGGCACTGGTGAATTTTTTCTTAAACGCCTTCTAGTTCTAAAGGGAGTGTATTTTAGGCAAAAAATTTGAAAAAGATAAAGATCTTGTAATAGTATATAATGCAACAAGTGCGGTAAATGGCATTTGACTCAAGAGTTTATTTGACACGAGCGGAGCGCAGCGGAGCGAGTTTTTAATAAACGAGTGAGTTAAAAAGTTTACCGAACGTGTTGCATACTATACTTTTTCTACGACCGTTAGTTTTTGGGTACATTTTCGCAAAACACGAATACATTCACTCACATGACCGTCAGAATTGACAAACGTCAAAATTCAAGGCGTGGGAAATATCTCCGAAAACATCCGATTGCTCCCAAATCCGTGCAGTAAAATCCCGGAAATGTCCGAAGTGGCTCGGATCCGTGGGAAGCGAAACTGACGCCGTAAGAAGTGAAAAGAAAAAATACCTTTATTATACTTTATTACGTACCCACCTCAAAATGTTTTTTATTTATACATTCCGTTTTATGAAATTTTGGATTTTAATTTAAAATGGGAACTAAGCAGTAACTAGATATCGTATATATTGAAACAAATAATTACTTGTAAAGAAAATGATCAAAAGCAGAGGCACGCAGTTTATAAAATCAGCCAGTCATTCAGAGGAGTGCCAAAACTTTACTATTAAATTAATATAGTTTAATATATGCTTATATAGGTTAGAGTACCAAATAAATTTTTTAAACCAGGAGAAAAGTGGCTTTGTTTTTTATTGAATACTTCCGACTATCCAAATAACCTTTTCCTATTCCCTTCTGTAAAATACCTAATTATACACTGATCTAGTGTGCATTTTACGGCGTCAGTTTCGATTCCCACGGCTGCGAGCCACTTAGAACATTCGTGATGTTTGATGTTTTCGGAAATGTTACTAACGGACTTTTAACGTTTATAAATTCTGACGGTCAAAAATTAGTAATTTCTCAATAACCGTTTATTCTCTACCTTTATTGGCAACGTTATATTTTTAGTTTCTGTGCTGTATGAGTATTCTTCTAATTTCCCAGTTTAATAG